CAATGCGGGAAGGATGAGACTTGGGCGCATCATGAAACCTTCTCAGCCGGAGAAAGAAAGAAGAAAAACGAAAACAGCTAAGAGGTCCCCAACCACCGGAGTGCATGCAACATCGCGGTATTATTATCTCCTCGTTGAAACATATCACGCCAACTATGGACCAAAGAATGATAATAATACCAACAATAAACCCGTTACAATAAACAATCCCTCCTGGTCCCAATACATCTCCATGCATAAATACACGAACAAACCACAGTTCTCGATACGGATATATCACACGACAGACACCAAAACAACGTAACACACACAACCACCACCGCACCCTGCGTCCACCCAGCAACCAACCGTCTCGCCCTCCCATTATTTCCCTATCCAACCAACTAGTGTAGTTAGGCATATTCTCGAGATCCCTTACACAGTGACTTCCCCAGACCAACCCTCGGGGCACAGCAGCACAACCAGCGGCACAGTACGACAAAGTCCTACTACCGTGATACCGTCACACATACACACAAGTTGCACAGTTGTGGCACAGGAGGAACTTGAACAAGCAATAACTAGTAACCATGCCATGTAGTACTACCTAGCTTAGTGTAGTGTAGTTAGTGTACAAAAGGGAGAAGGAGGTCGGGGTCGGGGTCCGGGGGGGATGTTGCGGATGTGCCACGGCGACGTCATGTCCTACCTGTCCGCCCGTGGTGTCGTTGTTGTTGTTGTTGTTGCTGTTGTTCAACCGCAGTGAGCGGGAGGCGTAGGTGGCTAGGTGGCTGGCCTTGTTGCCGGGTTGCCCGGCGCAATACACACTCCTCACTCAGGCCACTTTACCACTTTACCTAGTACTTACATAACAACTGGCTATGTAAATGTGAGCCTTGACAAATACCGAGGTAATTACACTGTCCCGAAAACCTGCAGTGTGGCGGCGCGGTGATGTCCGGCGTGACGCCCGTTGGCCGTAGGATTCCCGATATATCGGATGTTAAATACCGAATATTGAGTTGGTCGGTATTCCGCCGGCCGCCTGAAAGGGGCTTGAGGGGGAAACAAGATCCGAGCGAGCCAACGGGTGTTGATCAGACTGGGTTGTCTCAAAGTGAACGAAACAAGGGCCGATACAGACCAACATTAGGGCAGGAAACAGGCTTATTGTACCAACAACCACTGTGGCGTCGATAGACACACGAACGAACCAAAAAAAGGAAATAAAAAAGACAGAAAAATCGACCCAGCCCGGCGGTCAGGGACAGACGGTTGTTGGTTATTGTCTCAAGTCAGGGCTCTTCTCACTTTCTCTCCTGAAAACTAAAGAATGCATACCGTACTGTGTAAACATCAGAGCCCCCAACCCGAAGACCGGCCGGCGTCTGCCGGGCAAGACCGGGCAAGCGGGTACGTGAAAGCAGATCAGTCATTTTACTCCCCTTCACTATCCGTGCCCAAGGTTTCGGGATCAGTGGCTTGTTTGTTGGTTAGCTGGGTCGATCAGTGATCGGTTGAAGGTCTGTCTCAGGGAAGGTTGGCGATGACCTCAGCCGTGGGGGCTGGGGGCTGGAGTGACCTCTTCCGTGAACTTCTATGGACTGGACTGGACTGGACTGCCTTTGTGTTTCCCCGGCTGGAAACGGGAGGGCAAGGCGTTTTACGGAAACCTACTTGTGTATGTATGTATGTATGTGTGTGGTAGGACGGGGCCAAACATGTTACTGCAGTTGTCGGTGAGTACGGCTTGTGGGCTGCCAGTGTTTTCGGCCACTCGGATGGTTGGGATGATGGGGGATAGAGGGGAGGAGGGGCATGGCGTGTTGTACGGTCGATGGCACCTGACTGGTAGTGGATGCGGTGGTAGGTTGTTGTGTTCTGTGTTGTTTCTCGGGGTCCTTTGATCCAGGAATCTTTTCCCGAGTTTTTTGGACCATTTTTTATTTTGCCATATGGTTATTGTTAGACCGCGAGCCGTATCTCTTGACCGCCTTAAGTACGAAAGTCAATAGTTACTGTCATAATACCGTGAAAACTTTACTTCCTGCTTTCCATTGTGTTTACACTCAACTCATATCACAGGTACCTCGTATCATCATGTAAGTCAACCTTCAAACAACGAAACCCCGTTCAGCTCAACTCAGAGCCCACCAGAAAAACCTTCAAACGTCAGATCAGACCAGGCTCCGTAAATCCAGGTCCGGTCATGGGCAAACCCAGCCAACCAGCCAACCAGCCAGTCAAACAGCCAGCCGCGCCCGGTTAGCTTGTCGGCAAGCCCGGCCGTGCCTTGCCTTGTCGTTTTCCCTTTTCGGACCGCAGCCGCCCGCCGTCCGCCGTCCGCCGCCTCATAGTGTAGCCGGGCAGTTGGGCCAGCTAGACGGCTACCTAGGCGGCTAGGTAGGCGAGGCAGCCGGCTGGCCGGCCGTTTGGGGGGCCTTGGGGGACCATAATGCGGCCGCTCATACGCCCCGGACCGCATGCGTGATTGTACAGTACATACATCGCTTTACTCTACACAGTAGAGGATTGTTCTCTCGTCTGATTCACGTGGTTGGCCTGGCCTAGTTTGGTCTGGCCGGGTCAAGTCAGGTCAGGTCAGGTCAGGGCCTTGCTTGGGCCAGCCAACCCACGTCATGCCATGCCCCGGCCAATGGGCTTCATACAGAGTACAGGTTTGACTTTTCGAGAAGCAAGCAACACGAACCCGCGCCAACAGCGGCGTTGGACGCCACACCATGTGTGTGTAAGTTAGTTAGCGTTCAGCACCCAGTAAAAAAAGCGAAAAGAGAAAAGGTTCTGAGTGGTTGGGTGGGTTGGATCCAGACGGGCGGTAGGAACGGCGGGAAGCGGCACAGCCTTTTGGCCTTTGGCATGTGGTGATTGAACCCTGATGGCAAGGTGCAGCCGGCTACCGTAAGGCGGCGGCGGCGGCGGTGGCGGTCGTGATGATTGATGGCATGGGCGACCGTTGGCATGTGGTGTGCGTGTGCATGTGGTGTGGCGGCGGCAAAGGTATCCGGAACGGGAAAAATAATGAGTCAAACTTGCGCTCTCCCTCGGGTCAACAACCAACAAGCCCCCAACGCACGCACCCAGCCGGCGGGTCGGGATTTTTTTAATCTATTTTATTTTGGTTTGTTTCGGTTTGTTTGCTCATTGATCAATGTGGCGATTTAACCCCGCGAATGGGCTGCAGTAGTGTAAGTTAGTTTGCTCATGAGTTGGTTGCATGGAACGGGCGCTTGATGAATGAGCCCCGTGACCCTGACGGGATGTGTCTTGTCAATTACGCCGCAACGCCGCAACGCCGCCGACGGGTTGGTGGGTGTGTGAAGAAATGTGTTCTCACACACCCACCACCAACCAGCCGATGTGAAAATATTGACTCCCAGAGGATCAACACACCCGTAAATGTTCGGACCGAAAATTCCTATGCCGAAATGAGATCACGACCTACAGACTCATAGTCAGCAAACCCCGAGCCGGGCTGAGCTGAGTTCGGCTGAACTGGAATCACACACACGCTCTCTCTCTCACCGAGAGAAGCCGAAATGATGGATCATCCGAGTGTGCACACCTCTCCCTTGATTTCCTGACCGAGGGATGAGCGAGGATCTCAGAACCTAGTTCCTAGTACATAACAGGCTCCCAGGCTCATTCGCTCATCAGACGGCCAAGCAAGCCATCAGCTTCCATAGACCTTCCCAAAAGAGATGCGAGAAGAAAAAAAGGGGTTCACCTGCTCAGCCACCAACAACGACAATCGAAAAAAGGGTCTCATCAACCAACAACCAGCAGCCACAACCACCCATAACTACACTGTGCCAAACGCACCAAACAACCCCCCCTTCAGAATCCCGAACCATGGCCCCGGGAGAAACAGAAACATGTGTCGTTAAACCAAACAAACAAACAAATGGAATGTGACAGGTTCCAAATATCCTCGCTCTTATTCCCATCCAAGACATCATCATCATCATCATCATCATCATCTTTGCCCATCACCCATTTGAATATTTCCCTAGTATCTATTACCGCGGTCCCGGAATGCGGGAATTAATCCCATCCCGCCGACCTGGGTTCAAGCCAAGAACGCCTCACTCACCAAAAGGGGATCCCAAAAGAGGGCCAAACCAAATAAGGCATGAACGTTCGGAAATGTGACCGACGATATTCGTCATTAGGCATTGTAGGTCCTAAGTAACCAACCAGGCGAAGCACATGAAGGATCTATCTATCTACACTAGGCAGGCAGGCAGGCAGGCAGGTAGGCAAGGAAGCATGGTGAAAAGGGGTAGACTTTTACCCCTGGAGGCTCGTGAAAGGAGGGTAAGTAAGTCCGTAGTTACTTTGTAAACCTAAAGAAGGCAGGCAGTGCAGTGGGCGGCGTCTAGATCCTAGATGGATGAAGTGTTTTTATACTTCGCTCGCTCCTCCCAAGCCCAAGCCCCCTTTTCATCTCATATGAGGTGACATGTTCATGCACAGTAAGTAGTATGCACGTGGGAGCGGAATATTGTCGGCACCGCCGAGTTAAGACGGATGGATGGATGGATGGATTTGTTGACTCCTGAACTGCCGCCTGATTATTACCTTCTGAACTGCATCTTGAACGAGACGGCAGATAGCGAAATGACCGAAAGACGACGGGCTTATTTGACCGTTCATGACTTTATTACTCACCCCTATCATCGAACTTGGGCCCTGACTCCGAAGTCTGACTCTGACCAAGAGACGTAGATAGAGACACAGAGAGAGAGACAAGACAATGCAAGACAGGACAGGACAGATAAACACGCCTTCAAGTTTATGAGCGTACATGCCTTAATTACTACTACAAGTAAGTCTTTTGTTTACGAACGTCAAGACGTCAGTCGCCATGTGCCAATCGACGTTTCCACCCCTCTACCGATACTTCCATACCATTTACATCCATCAACCACCATCCCGTCCCCCTTCTCTACCTCCAACCCCCCATCCCCCACATCAGTCAAAAACCACCAAAATAAAACCATCTATCGATACCCCCACCCCTTCTGCGTAAAAAACGGATGCCTCAACGCCTCCGCCGGCGCAATCCGCTTATCCGGATTCAGCGCCAAACAGCGCTCCAACAAATCCACAAAATGGTTGAGTTCCCGGCCCTCAGCGTCGTCCATACCCGCCGAGGCAGCCAGTAGACGGGTGCGCAGATCCCGCGTCGGCTTGACGCTGGCGAGGGTGCGGACGTTGGTCTAAAACGGGGGAGGAAGATGCGGGGTTAGTTCATGTTGCCTATGCATGTCATGCTGTGATAGGGAAAAAGAAAAAAAGGGTTGGTATGGTGTGGTATGGATAGGGTGATATGATGGGAACCGAGTGGGTGGGAAACACAGGAATTAAACCGTGAAGCAACCAACCCCCCAAAAAACCGCTGCGGTGCGCGCCGAAAAATCAAGTTTCCTCCCACGCCTCTCTTTCTCATGCATTCTGCACAAAATCGCTGCAACATCGGTTTGGTCCACGGCCCACGGGCCACGATACCGCGCGTCCACATCCCATCGCTTGACGGGATACTGCCTCTCGTGTTGCACAAAACAATGCAAACCAAACAGGAGGGGGGCGGCGGCGGGCGCCTCATTGAAGACGACATCGGCTAAGTGCAGAGGCCGTGGATGTGATGCGTGATATTAACCAGGCGCCCGCTCGTTCTCGGCAGCAGCCAGGCGTGCGGCACGGCAAGAAACACCGCGCCGCGGCCAACTGACCGCCCGCCCGGCTTTATAAAAAGATATCGGATGTTGAACCACCCGATGAAACGGTGTAACAACCAGCGATATGTTTCAAGATAGGCGTGCTGAATGCAGGAGGGCGCGGGGGTGCAATAATTGGGAAAGGGGAAAGGGGGAAAAAGAAAGAGAGAAAGGGGAGCAAGAATGAAATCGGTCTGAAAAAAGGGGAAAGAAGGGAATTAGTTAACTCACCTTGCCCAACATCTTGTCTCTCTCTACGCTGATGAAGTTGCCGAGCTCATCAAAGTGGTTGTGCGAGAGCTCACCACGACGGTATAGCTTCGCGCTCAGCTTGCCCCGGATCTCCATGATGTTCTTCAACATTTGGTTGTTACTCTCGCCCGTGAACAGGATCTTACCCGTGTACAGCTCATATAGCGTGCAGCCAATCGACCACATGTCGACGGCATAGTCGAAGGGCACGCCTAGGATAATCTCAGGCGCACGGTAGAAGCGACTGACGAGGTACGGCATCGCTTCTGTAGCCGCAGTCGCAGCGTCAGAGCGATCGATGGCTGTACCGAGATCGCAAATCTTGAGCATGTTGCGGGCCTCGTTGACCAGGATGTTGTCCGGCTTCAGATCGGCGTGGATGATGCTGCACTTGCGCATGTGGGCCAAAGCGAGGAAGATCTGGTAGGCATAGGCCCGCGTCGCGTTCAGGTTGATGCCGACGTTGTTGCCGAACTTCTTGAGCACCTCGCGCAGGTTCATGCTCAGGTTCTCAAACACCATGCAGAGATGGGCCTTGTACTCAAAAGACCGCTCGAATCTGACAATGTGCTTCTTGTCGTCTGGGTCTGCCGAGTTTAGCTTCTCGAGGATGGCAATCTCGGTGAAACCTCCTTTCCTAAGCGCGTCGTTGTTCCGCATGATCTTGATGGCCACCTCCTTCTTGGTCGTGACATCGACCGCGCGAGCTACTCCTGAGAACATGCCCCGGCCCAACGTTGTAGATACCTGGTAACGTCCGTCGAGGAGCTCACCGGGCCGGATCTTGTAGTAACCCTCCTTATCATCGCCATCCAAGATGCCGCCGCCCGCTTGAGGCCCACGCACATCGGAAGATGCGTCGGTCTTGGCTGGGGCGGGCGCCGCAAACTTGTCAGCGAAATCCTCGGCGAACATGTCGAATTCGTCGTCGTCATCATCCTGCTTCTTGGCGCTGGCATCCTCGGAGGGTTCGGGTGCCGGAGGTACAATTTCTTCTTGGCCTGGACGAGGCTCACCGTGAAGGCCGACGTGGGCGTGGCGCATCTCGTCTCGACGCTCATCCTCCTTCATGTCGGCTGTGGGATCGTAGTTGGCCGCTGACGGGCCATCTTCGTCAAAGGCCTTAGCTTCGCCGTGAGCATTGATGAGGGCTTGGTCGTCAGCAAAATTAAATACCCCTGGAGAGAGAGCGGACGGTATCCTGCTGGGAGATAGGCCAGGCGACGAGGGGCCATCTAGGTGATATTAGCAGCTAGACAACCTGAATAACCAGGGGGTGGGGCTTACTTGAAATAGGGGTTGCCTCGTCGCCCTTTGAGGGCCCTGGAGTGTTCTGACGAGTCGACCCAGGCGTGGATGCAAGCCTATCACCGGTCTGCAGGGTCTGAATTATGGGCGTCGCTGCGCCAATACCGCGTTTGAGGGCCGCCTCTCGCTTCCGCCGGCGGCGCTCAATCTCGGCTTGAACAGCAGCTTCTTCGTCCACGGCCTCCTCGGGATCCCAGTCCATATCAGGCTCAGGGGGTGCACTGTAAAGAGAGTCAGAAACTGTCTTTGGTCGATGAGCAATTGAGTAACGTACCTGGGTTGTGAAATAGCAAGATCATTGATACCACGCTCGACCGTGGCACCTCTATCACTTTTAGCATTCTGCGATGAACCACCAAAAGCACCCCCCGGGTGATCCTTCCTAGACGTTGAGCCATCCTGAGGGCGTCTCTCACCAGAGGCACTGTACTTGTCTTGCCCCGGCCGTAAATCGCCACGGCGTGCCCCATCTCGCCCACCTACTCCCCCGCCTCTGTCGTCCCTACCACGGGGTGACCGGCTGCGGGTGCGGGGCCGCTTATCTGGATAGCCATCGTTCCTGCGGTCGCGGTCGTAGCTTCTATCATAACCGTCGCGTCCTTTCGGGCGTATGTTACCGGACTCGCGGCCTCCGTATCGGTTGTTGTTATTATTACTATTATTGTTGTTGTAATGTTGGTCAGAGCCTCGGGACGCAGGCCGGTCTAAGTCGCGATACGGGCGGCGGTCATCGCGAGGGCCGCCCTCGAGGTGGGCACGAAACTGGCGAACATCACGTCGGTCGCGGTGGTCGCGGTGGTCATCGCGCGACCGCTTCCAGCCGCGGGGCGAACGGCTTCGGCGGGGCCCACCATTCGAATCTCTCGATGGCCCATCGCCCTCGGGCGTGCGCGACGGGAATCTGCCTCGATGTCTGCCGGTTCGGTCAACATCACCGTTTTGTTCAGAGCGAGGCTGGGGAGTTGCCTCGACGATTTCCCCCTCATCCGAGCTAAACGCAGAGGACGCCATTGTATGTACCGACCCGCGACTTGCACCCGTTCGTTTGTCCGTCTATTCGTCCCTCTATATCTTTGCCCGGTGGCAACCCTAAACACAGCACGCTCTGTTTGCTTGGGAACTTCCTTCTTCTTCCTCCTTGACTAGAAATTTGTGGATAGTGTCAGCCTTGGTTTCAACGTCAGAAGGCGAGAGTTTTGGATCGCACAGTTGCGGGATGTAAAAGCGAGGCGAGGATAGCAACGCGCGGGTTGAATCTCTGACGGCGTGGTATAAGTGTGTGTCGAGGGAAATAGATGCCAAACAGAGACAACGGCAGATTGAATCCACTTCGACGACTTGGTGTGACGTTTTCCACAGCCTGAGAACCTGCCGAAACCGTTTCTCGGCACTGGTGGCGCTCGCTGGAGCGATCCGAGTCGGGAAGGGCCAATCCGGCGATCTAACCGCGGTTTAGCCGGTTCACCGCCCAAATGTCCAGGCGCTTGGTCTGGGCTTTGCCGCCGTCTTCGTCGCGGGGCCTTCGCCTTGACAACTCAGCGCGCTGACTTCCCTTCCTGATTCTGCCCCCAAAACTTACCACTATTCTCTTCATTGATATCAGACACACCGGGTCTCCTTTTTTTCGAACAAAAAAATCACACAAAATGGGTGGTCAGAGCAGAGAAGGCATGTTCCCCCCTTCCACTCCACTGGCCTACCCCCTGACGGGCGCTGGAGTAAACCCTGAAAATCCCGACTAACACCATCATGACAGGCGGGAAGGCGAAGCCCCTCAAGGTGCGCACAACCGACCACACCACGAGGCCACTACCGCACCCGAATCCCGCATCGTATATTGAGACCAGCCCACTAACCTAGAGACTGTTCCAAACCACCAGGCCGCCAAGAAGCAGAACAAAGATCTGGATGACGACGACAAGGCTTTCCACGAGAAGCAGCGAGCCTGTAAGGGAGCCGACCCCCCAAAGACACTCGGCCGTCGCTGCTGTTCATGAATTCCACAACGATCTAACCCGCTCACTTTCTCTAGACGAGAAGGCTAAGAAGGAGATGGCCGCCAAGGCCGGCGGCAAAGGCCCTCTTGTAAGTGATCCGGACCTCCTTTCCGTCCTCTCTCCATCCACAGATCGCCTAGGTACTAACCAGCTATCCCTTATAGAACACCGGTGCTCAGGTACGCCCCCACCCCACGAGCCGGGACTCCGGTCTTTCCTTTCCCTGCGAACTACACTCTAACACGTCGAACAGGGCATCAAGAAGTCAGGCAAGAAATAGACGACTCAACCAGAGTGGAAGCACGGTATTGCGTTGATGTGGAGTCTTGGGAAGTATTTTACGGGCGCAAGACAAGGAGAAGAGGAGTTTAGAGCCAAGTAGGCGGGTAGGAAAGCAGAAGCGACATGTTCCTTCTGCTTGCCAGACACGACCTTTTCAATGAGTACAACGAGTCACGTTTTTTCTACGTGTTTGTGTTTGTCTTGACTGTGATTGTGGTTGTTGGTCCAACTAAACAGGCAGGTTAAACGGCAGTCATGATGAGATGTTATGACGAGGGAACTGTCGGGATGAGTAATTCCTAGGTACCTCTAGAAAACGCAAAGGTTGGGTCTATCATGAAATTTAGTTTGGTGCGGGAATATCTACCCCTTTTTTGCCCACCCGACCCTCTGAATACAACAAGAATCACACCAGCGTTGGGGTTCCAAGCATGCTACTTCAGGGATAGTTTTACAACCTAAGTATCGCCAATAAAAAAGGGGGGATCAACACAGTTCAACCAGCACCAATCAACCCCACATACAACTTCCTCCCCCCCCTCACCACCACACATTCCAGCAGTATATAGAAGGTCCACGCCCCTCCTGCCTCCGAGCCCCCCAGAATACAAAACCAATCTTCCTGCCAAGTGGCGTAGTTGGCCTGAGGGGCCGCTATAGCGGCGGCCTCACCCCTCGACAACCGATCGAGAGGCTGCCGGTTCAATCCGGAGAAAAACCCACCCGGGGGGTTTTCGTAACCAAAGCACCCCTCTTCAGCCGGTGAAGAGGGTCGGCTGGTGATCTTTTTTGAGATTTTTTCCCTTCCACCGTTGTTGGTTGCTTCTTCCTTTTTGCTACTCGCCTTGTGAATTCGAACGGCCATCTAACCTGTGCGAGATCCATGGGTATTAACCCGGCCCCATTCGGGACACGCTAGTTGGTGGTGTAATATTTGAGTGTTTGTGTATTGGCGGTCTGAGGAAAGTAGATGCAGCGAGGTTGGGGATATAGAGGAATGTGAACCGGTAGATTGTTGATATAGATTGGCTATTTAACAAGCATAGGTCCATAAGATGACACTGCGTTGGCATAAACAAGTGATCTATGTTTGTTAATGATATAGATGTCTGGGTCGTATATATAACGATGTGATCAAAGGTATACGTTCGGGTCCTAAATTGGCTTGGGGGATAGGTACATGTATGCTGATGTCTTTGACCACGAGACGGGGGATAAAATTCCCCGTCCGAACTAATACGTATTCCAATCCTAAGTCTAGATCATATCCCGGGCCACGCCGGAGGATCTGTAGATATCTGGATAGATAGATATTCTAACCCAACAAAATCACCCTGGGAGATTCCCCGTCAAACGCCAAACCCAACCCAGCCTGTCTTAACCCAGTCCCCAACCAGACCTAATGATGCACAATTAACCCAACCAGGCCAGGCCGACCAGATGCCTCCGCCACCAGTGTGCTTTACGTTTCAGATTTAGATGGTATCCCCAGATGGGAGCGTGTCCCTCGCCCATACACAGTGACAAATGAAAGGAATAGAAAAAATGATACAAAATCCGCTATGTTTGCAGGAACAGAATAAACAAGACATTATATGGTAAGAAAAAGAGAGATTCCATGATCCCATTTCGTTGAGTCCTCCTCACCCCCTCCTTTCGTCTAGGGGTAATGATGATAAGGGTAGGGATGGGGTTGCTGACTAGGAAGAGACCTCTAGTTCCCTCCCCAGATCTGACTCCCTCTCCCACTCCCTACCCCAGCTCCCCTCGTAGCCGCCCCAGGCGTCCCGCTCCGATCTGCCGCACCCCTCGTCCCACCCCGGAAATAATCATATTGCGGCGCCGGACTTTGCGGTGTACCTGCTGCTCCGGAGCCTGTCCCCGATGCTGACGCCGATGCCGATGCGGAACCAGGCCCTGTCCCGGATAAAGTCGGGACGATCAACGGTGACTGCACAATATCCATCTCATCCGTCTGTGGCAGCCCGCCGTAGCCTTGCGGCCCACCGCCCAACAAGCCCGGGGCGCGAAGGCTGATGCTGCCGCCGCCGCCACTGACGGGGCTTCGTTCCCGGTATGACCCATACGTGCTAGGCGTGGGTGGGAGTCCGGGCGTGGAGACAGGCATACCGGCGGCGCTAGCAACAAGGTTCGAGCCGCTGTCGTTGGCGTGGGCATACATGGGGCTGCGTGAGCGGATCGTGACCGGGTCGGGCGTGAACACGGGTTGCCCAGGGTAGGCACTGCCTGCGCCGGCCGTGGAAGGCGGTGTGTTGCCGTGGTAAGCTGTGGCGTCTTGGAACTGCGAGAAGGGCCGTCGGTTAGCGGAACCGGCCCCCGCACCAAAGCCCATCCCGCCTTGAGGTGTCCCAGGCCGTGAGTAGGGGTCGCTGCCGATGGAGCCAGGAGTGCCAGGGCGGATGATGTCGGGGTTGCGGCCGAAGAGATCGCCTCCACCGTGCTCAGCGGCAAATTCGTCACGGTTCTTGTAGAACTCAAAATCGAGGCGCGATTCGGGGACCACTTCGAATCCGGGCATGCCGGCCGAGGGTTTGCCGGCCTTCCCAGACGCCATGTTGTCCAGGACATATGTATCGCTGTACCCGCTAACTGTCATGGAATCGTCGTAGCCAGCATCCCGCCCGTCGCTGAGCCGGCCTTGGTAGACACTGGCAAGTAGGTTTTGTGCCTTGGCGTGGACCATGGGCGTGATAAGCGGCCTGTAGAGGGCCGGGTGGCCGAACCGAGAAGCGAGCCGGTCGTTACGCGCGCCCTGCTCCTTCAGATCGAACCCGGCCTCAGCTTGCTGCTGCGCAGTGTAGCGTGTGGTGTAGAAATGCATCTTGTCGTCAAATGCCCGTGTGCAGTAGAACTTGAACGCGAGCATGAGGAATGGAAGGGGGGCTACGGCGTACGCATGAACGTGCGTCCCGTCGCCACGCACCCAGCAGGTCAGGAACACGACCAAATGCGACAGCATGGACCCAAAGAGGAAGCGGTTGAACAGTATGCGCCAGAACATACCGCCGCTCTCCGTCTTGGTGACAAAGACGTAGAGCAGCAGGTATTTCTTCAACCCCACGTCGATGCAAAAGTACAGAGCGGCGGCTGGCAAGACGAGCGGCTGAATGGCAGCGTAGCAGATGGCGACGGTCGAGTAGAACAAAAAGTAGTTGTAGTAACTCGCGTAGTCGAAGGGGGGCGGAGCCGTGAGCTCGATTAGCTCGCGAGGTGTCGGGCTCGAGAACTTGCGCATGAAGAAACTTGTGAGGAGGGTCCACAGCTGTGCTAGGTCGACGGCCGCACCAAGCTGTCTCTGGAGTAGCCAGGTGACCCAGAAAGGCGAAACGGTGCAGAGGGAAATGAACAAGTTCTGACCAATGTCGGCGTCGACGAAAGCCTCCCAGGCATCCGTGCCGTTCTCGGTCTCCTTCACAACGTGGGAGATGAAGGTCCACAGGGCGCTGAAAATCGAGAAGACGACGAGGTTGTTGAAGACGAAGAAAGTATACAGCTTCGCCACGACGTGACGCTCCCGCCCGGTCTTGGTTTGGTCTCCAGCCCTGATGGACATACGGCGGAAGAGGATGGGAAGAACCAGATACACGAGCGACATAAGGGCCGGCGAAGCAATACCTTGGACAATGGACCAGAACGCAGGGCTCTGCTCCAAGGAATCGCCGAAGGCATGCCACACCTGCCCCAAGTTCTTCAAGTTGACGAGGAAGATGGCGATCATGGCGTTGGGGGCGATCCACAGCAGGGTCAGGACGGCGATCCAAAGGTTGTTCCACAGTCGTCTCCTGCCGCGAGTCGCAGAGTTGAGAGGCATATTATCCCAAATAATGTCGTTCGGCCGAGGGGCCAGCTTGACAGTAGCGCCGTGGGGCTTCTTGCTGCGGCATGTGTAGCCGATGGAGTGCGCCTCGGAGATATCGGCGTAGGAGGAAAACCCATATGGCATCGAGCCCCTCTTGTCCACCCGCTGGCGGACATCCTTGATCTCCAACTCCAAAACCTTGATGCGCTGCGTGAGATACTCAATGGCGTCAACCTTCTGCCCTTTCGGGTAGGTCCCGAAAGAGGGATCCCTCTTCGAGGGAGAGCACTTGGGCCGTTCGGTGGGAAGGTTGTTGGGATCCTTGAGGTAGATGGCAAGCACTTTTTCGAGTTTCCGTACGGCCTTCTCGTGCTGTTGGATGAGGTCGGGTAGGATCTTGACGTCACGAGCAACCGCAGTCCTGGCAAACGACGAATTCGGGGCGACGGTATCAATAATCCTCGCGATGCCTTCATCGGATGTAAAGTTCTTGGGAATGTCGTATAGCTAAGCCAGGTTAGCCAACGTACACTAGATATTGGGGTGCGGGGGGGTCGTACCATTAGTGTGCGAGCGTGAAGGCTGTGTTGATACTCTTCGCTCTGCATGTATGTACGCCTAAGCAGCAGAACCTTCTTATAATTCCACCAAAGAAAACCGCACACCACAATCGTCGACAACCAAGCAAACGTTACGGTGGCCCAATGCGCCGGGCCCCAGACGTCCGCGGGTGTAATCCTAGTCAACCACGGCGCATCTTTCCCAACGAAGTTGTTCCAGTTGACGGGGATCAAGATGGCACAGCCGAAGAGGGAGAGGGCGAGGAAGATGTTGCGGCACATTCTCGTGAAGCGCATGAAGACGGCGGCGTCCATGCCGACCAAGTTGACGACGTCAGCCTCTGAGGTGGACCAGAGCGGGAAGACCCACGCCAGGACCCCTTTCCCCAATGGTGGGGGCGCATGTTTCTCGTCGGCATGCTTTAGTTTGGGGGCGTATACGACGCTATTGTACGGCCGGAGGAAGGAGAAGCAAACTGCGATGGCGGCAGTGATACCCAGCGAGGAAGCCAAGGCAGCAAACACTGCATTTTGTTGGAACTAGGACCAGGGGGTAGTTTGTCAGTAAAATCGCATATTTAGAGCACGGTCAACTCTAAAAAAAGCCACGACCACCCGTAACAGGGCATGTGTCGCGTGATAAGGAACATACCTTAGCTTGTGATGAGAAGGGATCCGACAATAGCCCCAACAACACCTTCGCGGGGTCGTCGGTCTGGGGCACGTCCCTTGCGAGCATGTGCCGGAGAACATCCATCTTAGCGCCGAATCAGAGGATGTTGAACGCCCACGCAGGGCAAGTAAAAAGGGTCCGGACCAAAATCCGAAGTGGGCGTGAAACACAGCGAAATATCGAGTAGCCGGTTTCCAACAACTGCCTTGCTTACGGCGAGTATAATAAAGGTAGACTGCTCGGCTGGTCGATAGCTGAAGCAACGATCAAAGGAGGGAACCTTTTTCGTCGTCCGCAGGATATGTGGTGATGGCGGCGCTTGGTCGGTGCGTGTGTGCCGTCCGGTTCCGTCACTGGTGTTCTTCCCAACGGTTCCTCCTCTTTTTTTACTTGAACTGGCTAGGGGTTTGGCGCGGAATGTCAAACTCGAAAGGGCGTCTTTGATGCAAACTAGAATCTAGAAAAATTCCAGCACAAAGCACTCCCGCTTGTGTCGTTGTGTTTGACAAGATTCCTGGGTGGAAAGTGACGTATGCTCCGCCCTGGAAAGAGGATCAACGCCAAGGCCGCGAAATGCTGCGTCGCTTCGAAATGAAGGCAGGGTCGATGGGGTTCGAGATCGACAAGGGTCGTCGGGAAAGCGGAGGTATCGTTCGGTCCAGGCCAAACGAAGGGCGAGATCGAAAAAAATGGAAAACGAGAGATGAGCAAAAACCAGCCGCCGAAAGAATGAAGAAGGGCTGGGAAGAGAGCGAGCGACTGGGTGGCAATGAGTATGCCGTGTAAACCCCCGGGATCGTGAGGGTGGGTGTGTGAAGAAGAGGGTAGCCGGCCGGCACGCAGCGGCCAGAGAGGAGGACCAGACGTCCCGTTTTCAGAAAAAAGTCCTGGGGAAGTGAAAAGCGGAGCAAGGGACCGAGTTCTGGAATCGTGCACAATGCCGCGCTGGGACGGTGCCAAGAACTATCATCCAAACGCCAAAAATTGCTGAGTCCCTTTTTTCCCCTTCAAAAATAGCAAGACTTTCCCGACCTGCATGCGAATATCATATAACCTGACCACTAACATCCGGTGATAGTCCTCTCAACAACAACATCAGTGGTAACGTTCCCAACCACAGCCCACTGATTCCCAGTTTCCATCCTTGGTGTTCATCCATCCCGCTCGGAGGCATCCCGCAGTGACCAGTCAGCCGGTCTTGGCCGGTCCGTCCGCCAGGACAATCCACACAGGGCCAGCACGCCCCTGAATTCAACGTCCGTGGGGCCCGCGCTCCCCACCCAATGATGCTGTGGTTGTGTGGTAAGTCGACTTTTTTAGGTAGGCACTACCACCGGGCCGCTCTTGAAGCTCTCCTCGCACCCGTGGCTCCTTCTCTTTTTCCACCAAACTCCAGCCCGTGAGTGGCTCGAGAGTGGCTCCTTCTCTGCCCTGGCGACCGTTTTGTGAAGTGGGCCGCACCCTCCAGCGCCTTGCCTTGTGGGGCGGCCAGTTCACAATACGAGCTTCGTTCCCCTGATGCCGAGCTGCTGATGCTGCCATGCATGAAAAAATGTCTTGACTGCTTCTCCGCGTGTCGACGTCGAATGCAACACTGGGGGCGGCCGCCGATAGCCATCACGAGCTTACAGTCGACGATCGCACCTATTTTTCCGTTGGGCCCTGATTTTTTTTTTTATCCTCCTCCCTCTTGAGGAACTCAGTGTCCTTTGTGTGTAAGGATGTGTAAGGAAGTGTTTTGCGGAGGATTATGAGACCTCCAATGAACACGAACATGGATTGAGCTGCATAACATTGAACAGGGACCTTAAGCCCGGGATTAGACGGCCCATCTCGCCCAAATTCACCCCCGGCCGCTAGGCCAGTCGAGCCACAGCAGAATCCGCGCCATCGGGATCTAGAACTTTGCCACATCGGAGGATTGATCTGAATGAACAGCGTGGCACACCACCGATTAACTAGCCTTGCAAATCAGTGCAGCAAGGCCCTGCCCTGCCCGTCCGGGGGTTGGCTCATCAATTAACATTTGCCTTGAAGAAAAATCTTCGAGAAAAGCAAAACTGTATGTATGAATAAGGAGACAACACATGGGGTGAAAGAAAATATTTGAGAAACTACACTAGTTAAAACAGGCTCGGCTGACCGGGTCAAGTCTGTCGTCATGCGGCTCGACCTCGTGGTTCACTCAGAGAACACATGATGGAACCCCCATGAACGAACGGTTGGGGTAAGAAGGTTGTTTGGCAACCAAACAAGAATCGTGATTCACTCGCTTCCCCACGCCGTTTCAACTCTCACATCAACTGTGGAGAAACGTCGAGTTTCATGTTAATAGTGTAGTCCGTTTTTCATTTGAACCATTTTTTTCCCGCTTGATAATAGGTGGGGGATGATACAGTCCATACAGCCCAGGTTCCACCGCTGAGAAAGTCGGAAGAGAGCTCTCGGGAACTGGAAACCCAACCTGACCCGATGTAGCTAAATACTCAAGAAGTCTGGCAAAAATGCAAATAGTAGGGCAAAGGAACCCACCGCTGGGATGTTTTTTTCTTCGGACTTGAACCCGAGCCAACCGAACGCGAAGAAAAAGGGGTAAAATGGTGAAACGGGGGGCTCCAGAAGACGCGTCACGCCTCTCCACCAAAGCACGGCTCTCTGACCTCAAATCACCCTCACTCACAGCGTCGGGAACCCCATCCATTCCAAACCCTCGGAGCTCATGATAAGAGCTCGAGAATGAGAGCTGATAGAGCTTCAACTTGTACGGATAGACCCTATTCAATACTTAAGCAGGGCCCTGACTCCTCGTCTTCCGCGCTGTCTTCCCAGCTGGCACGGTGGGAGCAGGCTTGCTGTTCCCATTGCCGTTGGCCTGCTTTTTCGGGCGGCCCGGCCTTTTGGGAGCAGGAGGCTTTCCGGCTGGGTCTGCATCGGAGCCAGCAACAGAGGGGACGGCAGGGGCATCGGCGCCGGCAGCAAGTGGGGCCGCAGGTCCGCCCCCGTTGGCCTCTGTGGCCGAGGAAATTGCGCTAGGCTCCGTCGGCTCGGAGGACTTGCTGGGCTCGGCGTCCGTCTTGGCAGGGACGGCCTCCGACCCCACCGCCGCCCCCGCTTCGGCTTCGGCGGTCTTGGCCTTTTTGCCACCCGCTGCATCGGCCTCGGTGTCAGCCTCTGGACCGAGGGCGGTCTCCGCCTTGCGCTTGTTGGTATCGTGACCATTGGCGTCGTTGCTAGGTTTTGCGGCTGTCTCGTCTGGTGCCGGCCCGTCCTTCATCTCAGTGTCTTCGCGCGCAGGTTTGGCTTCGCTATTGGTGCTACTCGCGCCTGCGGGAACTGCAAGACTCTCTGCTGGCTTTTCCGCTATCGACTCGGAGGGCTCAACAGCGGTGGAGGTAGCGATGGGCTCTGCTATGGCCGGTTTGTCCGCGTCATTGGTCTGAGTGGCCTCGACGGGCGCTGGGCCGCTCGGGGGAACCGACAAGGGCTGGACGACTTCCGCCGGCTTGTCGGGAAGCGCTGGCTTGGGCTCTGACGCCGGGGCGCTAGGCTCCGGGACGGCACCCTCAACGCCACCATTAACGGCTGTCTTCTCCGTGGGTGGCTCCGACGCGGGGATCTCGGCGACACTGGTTGCGGCGGTAACAGGCGCTTCGGCGGACTGGCCTTGCTGCGTGGCTGTTGGTTGGGAAGAGATCTGGGGTCAGCATCAATGCGGGTCATTGAAGGGTAATCCGGGGACCAGAGTGCGCAACATCAAATTCCTAGCTCAAGAAAAATAGCAAAAGTCCCTTCTTAAATTTTACAGCCAAACTTGTGGCCAAGAGAGACAATCCCGACTTGTTGATAATTATCACTAAGGTGGAATCTCACCTTTGTCGAGGTCGGCAGACATCGCGAATATGACGTAACCGCTGATTGGCGCGGACCTGGCAAATGGGAGGGGCAGGTTCCCAATTTCTCGATCTTATAGGGTAGCGAGCTGAAATCACGGGCGAAAAAATCGACGTCGATGTGATGCGGAAAAGATGTCTTGTACGTTTTTGTTGATGAAGAAATCGTTAGTTAGAGAACAATTGAAAGGAAGAGAGAGTGGAAGGAGAAGGCGGAAATATGGGAGGAAGAGCTGAGCTCGGGATGTTAGGAAAACGGTGTAAGCGCCCCATCGCACACGGTACAAAGAAGCACCACATTGTACACATTCAAAACACCACACGGGGAACGGCGCGCACTGTCGGTCGAACGACCCCGCCGGAACAATAGATATGGGGGCTTCGCGGGCAGGTGCGAGACGGGAATTGCATCTGGCTGGCAAGTGGCTGGCAGTGGCCACCTACCTCAGCCGGGAAACACAAGCTGACATTCGCAAGCGGGTGGCTGGAAAGGCAGGCTCGATCTGGGCCGTATGGGGGAGGCACGGTGTTGAACAAGCGACCACTGTGGATGGCGGCTGCAGGATCTCGGCTCACCTCTCGATTCCATGCGATGCAACACCAATCTTCCGGCTTTGGTTTTCTGGGGGAGCCACCAGCGATCCACCATGACGCCATCACTCAACGAGCTGACATTTTCTTCATTTTCCCGAGCAATGGCCTCATTTTTGCCTTCTAAGCTCAGAGACACTATCAGAAACCGCACTCTTTGGCTGAATCTAACCCGGCTCGAGCCCGGTTGGTGAAGAGGGAGTGCTGGTTTTTAGTTTTCGTCCTTGACACTCAGAGATGCCCACCTAACCAATGACCAAGTGCCTGATCTGTTCTGGCCAACGGCAGCTGTCAATTCAACTTGAGAAGTAATTACCGTACGTACATGTATGTATGTCAATTATCTAGGAAGTCTAGATTGAGCCGGCCCTGGATCTCCAATCAACCGCGCTTCGACGAGCGCAGAGGCTGTCCAATGGACGTCAGTGACCCCCGGCGAACGCCACAGTTTACGCTTGCGGACAATTCCGCAGCAGAGACAACGATGCCAGCGTGGTGTCCGATACTATTACGTTTTATACTTCAAACTCATCGTCCTGCAACAAGCCCGGTTCCGCACGACAACCTGCCCGAGCCGCGACCGGACCGCTCCCTTGTCAAACTTGCATATGCGCAGGAAGCGTGAACCAAAAATATCAACTACTCACGCTAGACCAAATTTCGGGAAAAAAAACTGTCTCAATTGTTCAACCGTCGAACTGTCTAACGATACAAAATATAGACTTAGACTATCTCCGCACTAAGACTACACATGGCAAGACAACAGACACTTTGAAACATACAGCAAACCCTCACATGGGTGCAACGGGACGGAGACTATTAACATCATCCAGACTCTGCCAAGGAACAGCCCAGCAAAATTCGAGACTTATGGATTCCGGTTGAGAGTCGAGACACTTCTTGACTTCGGAGTCAACCTCCCCAGCCACTGACCGCACGCGCCGAGACTGCAGCCAAGAGTGTTGCCAATCCAGTGTCCGGGCACGTGCCCCGGCGCCACGGCAGAGAGCGGCGACGCGGGGGCGAAAGGAATCCTCCAGCTCGGTATGCCAAGGCGTGTTCGGGCCGGGCTCGGAGACGGCATGACTTACATTTGGATCTTTCTGACGGGAAGGGGCTAAAAAGAGGTTAGAGACGAGGCTGAGACGGCCGAACAACGTTGAGGTGAAGCGGAACGACGATTTAGTATCCCAGCCGTCGGGCTCGACGATCGAGGGAAGCGCAGACGGCGACGAACACGGACCGCGGACGGCCGGCGGGGACGGCCGGCCGCAAGCCGCCAAGCCTATGAAGGCAGGGAAGAAGACGGCGCATCCGGCACCAACGGCGCGCCGAGATCTCGGCGCCAAGGACCCATGACACGCGCCGCGCCACTCCTCCTCACCACCAAGAAGCCGGGCCTGTCCTATCACAATGCCCGGGCGGTTACTCTTCTCGGGTCGTAGAGATAATGAATAGTCAATCTGGGTGTAACCTCCAAACGTGCCTCGCTAACTCGCCCCTGACCAACCCCGAACCTCCGAGAATGGCGGCTCAACCGCCTCTCTTCGCCACCTTTTATGAACTCTTTATCAGATCATCTTGCAGCCAAGAGGCTGAGTGTTCGTTGCAGCCTCATGGGTTGCCCCCCGCAGTGGGGCGTCAACCACATCCGTCGACCACACAGAGGCATCTCGGCATCGGATGGGAACTAATAAGTGGGATATGGCCGGGATAGTATTTCTTGGTGTTATCTTGGCTTCACACGAGCAGACATGGTTCACCACCCTCGTTTAAGCCTTTACGTGGGTGTTGTCGGGTTATCGGTGAGAGAATGTGTGTGGTATGCTGGGGCGTAGCATGTATTGTATGGACCATGTTGGGTCGACTCATGCATGGAAGCAGCAAGATGCCGGCATACTGTTCCCTCGGTTGCAGGTTTTGCCTCCCCCTCCTCGGGGAGGAGGGGAATGGGGAGACCCAAAGTTTGAGCGTTGTGTATTTAAAGGCTCGGACCCCGCGCTTCGTCTCATGTGGTCAGTCCCGTGCAGTTGTCGTCATCATCGGAACTCCATTTTAACCAAGTGTTAGCAGTTTGGATTGACTAACACCAAACAGCACTACTCAAGACAATCTTCAAGTGAGCTTGTAGACAGTCTCGCCTTATACGATTCAAGGCCTTCCCTCACACAGCTTACTTCTACTACAAACCACACACCAATGAAGCAAGTTGCTTTTCAACCACAACCCCCTTAAACCGACACTGAGCCTTACATAAGCATCATACATACCTACCTACCTTACTACTCACCTGGGACCTGTAATGGCCGCCGAATTCCCCCGTCACCCTTTTCTCCTCTCGGTCGACGAGGTCGCCCAGGCCGCCGGCACCGATGTCGACAAAGGGTTGACGTCGGCGCGGGCCGCCGAGCTGCAGCAGCAGTACCCGCGTAATGAGCTCGACGTGGGCGGGAGTATTGCGTGGTATACCATTTTTATACGGCAGCTGTGCAATGCTATGATTCTGGTGTGTTTCATCCCTTATATCTTGTCTCACTTAAGAATCTCCTTTTCTTTCTCAGTTGTGTTGTGTACTCATGCTGACCGACCGGATTTAGGTCCTCTTCTTTGCCATGGCCTTGAGCTTTGGCGTGGCTGACTATATCGAGGGCGGTGTCCTGGCTGCTGTGATCGTGCTCAATGTGTCGATTGGGTTCTACCAGGAGTATGGCGCCGAGAAGAAGATGGACGCCTTACGTGCGCTGTCCTCGCCTAGTGCGAGTGTGTTGCGCGATGGCAAGACCATTGTCATTCCCAAGTGAGTAACAGCCCCCCCTTTTCTAAAACAGGAAAACATATGTCTGTTCTTGTGTGTGTAGGTTGACTAACACCTTCCTAGCGCCGAAGTCATCCCCGGCGACGTCGTCAACCTCAAGATGGGCGACACCGTCCCCGCCGACATCCGGCTCTTCGAAGCCATGAACCTAAACTGCGACGAGTCCTCGCTCACAGGCGAGGCCATCCCCGTGGAGAAGCAGACCAACAACGACATCACGATCCCCGGCACCGACACGCGTGTCACGTCGGAGGACGAGATCGGCATCGCCGACCGCATCAACATGGCGTATGCCACGACGATCGTGCGAAAGGGCCGCGGGCGTGGTATCGTGGTCGCCACGGGGATGCAGACTGAAGTCGGCAAGATTGCCGCGTCGACGAGCAAGAAGCGGCGTAAGGCGGGCCGGTCGATGAATTGGAAGAAGTATGGCAAGACGCAGCCGATTAAGGGCGCTGTGCGGCGGACGTATGATTTCTTTGGCAAGTTCTTGGGGTTGACGGAGGGCACGCCGTTGCAGATCAAGCTAGCTAAGTTGGCGTACTTGTTGTTTTTTTGTGCGCTGCTGTTGGCGGTGGTTGTGTTTGGTGTCAACAAGTTTGTGCAGCCGTTGCCAAAGGAGGTGGTGATTTATGCCATCTCGACGGGTATTGCGATTATCCCGGAGTCGTTGGTGGCTGTGTTGACGATTTCTATGGTCGTGGCTACGACTGTTATGCGGAAGGCGAATGTTGTCGTTCGGTAGGTTCCCATGGCCCCCGGTTGTCCCTCTTTTCTTCTGGCTTTCCTAAGATCATTGTGCTAACATCCGCAGTGATCTCTCTGCCCTGGAAGCTCTCGGTGGCGTGACCAACATCTGCTCAGACAAGACCGGCACACTTACTCAGGGTGCCATGATCGTCAAGAAAGTCTGGCTTCCCCCGTCTAGCATCCTCACCGTTTCGGGCTCAACCGACCCCAGCGACCCTTACAAGGGCAAAGTCAGCGATGAGCCCCAGCAAAGCGACAACAACAACAACAACAGCGACGAAGAAGCCTCTTCCTCCAAGAAGCGCGACTTCGACGAAGAGCGCACAACCCAAGCCATCCGCTTCGACGGCGTGCCCGACGAGAAACTGCACCCCAAGCGGCCCTCGGCGGAAATCGCCGCGCCCCTGACGCCCGAGCTGCGCCTGTTCCTGCTCTCGGCGGCCCTGTGCAACCTGGCGACGGTGCGGTACGACGACGGCGAGGGGGCCTGGAAGACAACGGGTGAGCCGACGGAGATTGCGTTGCAGGTGTTTGCGCACCGGTACGATCGCAACAAGCGTGCCGTGGAAGCGCTCGGGTGGAAGCAAGTCGCTGAGTTTCCCTTTGACAGCACTATCAAGCGCATGTCGGTGGTGTATGATGTGCCGGAGGGGAATGATGCTGGGCTTGATGCTGGGAGCGGTGTCATCTTTACCAAGGGGGCGGTTGAGCGGGTGCTGGATCTGTGTGCGCATGTTGGCACGGGCGAGAATCAGCAGCCGATGACGGCTGAGATGAAGGAGAAGATCCTGGCGCAGATGACGAACTTTGCTTCTCTCGGTCAGCGTGTCCTTGCTGTGGCGTATCGTCCGCTCAAGGAGAAGTATACCCCCTCTGGCCAACAGCAGCTAGGTGACACCAACTCGTCGGCTTCCCCAGACGAGAAGAATGATAACAACGACAACCCCCCTGAAGACGCAGCGCGGGCGTCCGTCGAGCAGGACCTCGTCCTCCTGGGACTCGCGGGCATCTACGATCCGCCCCGGCGTGAGACCTCGCCGTCCATCTTCGAGTGCTCCAAGGCCGGCATCAAGGTGCATATGCTGACGGGTGACCACGCGGAGACGGCCAAGGCGATCGCCATGGAGGTGGGCATCCTGCCGCCCAACCTCGGCGTGCTACCCGCCAGCGTGGCCGACACGGTGGTGATGAAGGCGACGGATTTCGACCGCATGGCCGAGTCCGAGATCGATGCCCTCGAGGAGCTGCCGCTGGTGATTGCGCGGTGCGCGCCCGAGACGAAATCCCGCATGGTCGAGGCTCTGCGGCGGCGGAACGCGTTCATGGCCATGACTGGCGACGGGGTGAACGACGCACCGTCGCTGAGTCGGGCGGACGTGGGCATCGCCATGGGCACGGGCAGTGATGTGGCCAAGTCGGCGGCTAAGATTGTCCTGACGGACGACAAGTTCAACAGCATCGTCGCAGCCATCAAGGAAGGCCGGCGCATGTTTGAGAACATCCAGAAGTTCGTGCTGCACCTGCTCAGCAGCAACGTCGGCGAGGTCATCCTGCTGATCGCCGGCCTCGGGTTCCAGGACCAGACCGGCTTCTCCGTGTTCCCCATCTCCCCACTGGAAATCCTCTGGATCAACATGGTCACCTCCTCATTCCCAGCCTTCGGCCTCGGCCGGGAGAAGGCAAGCGCGCAGGTGATGCGCAAGCCGCCGCACGACAAACGCCGCGGTGTGTTCACCAACCAAATCCTGGTCGACATGATGGTATACGGCCTGCTGATGGGCACATGCACGCTCATGACCTTCGTCATCGTCGTGTACGGGCGGTACGGCGGCGCCCTGGGCCACGACTGCAACCGCGTGTACTCGGACTCATGCATCCCCGTGTTCCGCGCGCGCGCCGCCGTGTTCGCCGAACTCACCTGGCTTATCCTCCTCAGCGCGTGGGAGTTTAAGGATATCCGCCGGTCCATGTTCCGCCTCAACCCGGAGGACCCGTCGCGGTTCCCGCTGTTCAAGGACCTGTACAACAACCGGTTTCTCTTCTGGGCCGTGGCCATCGGCCTTGTGTCGGTGTTCCCGACGGTCTACATCCCCTACCTCAACCACGATGTCTTCAAGCACACGGCCATCAGCTGGGAGTGGGGTGTCGTGGTGGGCATGACGGTGGTCTATGTGCTGGGCATCGAGGCGTGGAAGTATGTCAAGCGCCGGTTCCATCTGCTGGACGACCACAAGGTTGTGCAGGGTAGCTGGTCGCAAGGAGAGGAGGGTGCGCGGAAGTTTTATAAGAGTGCTGGTTTGGGCCATCTGAAGCAGTGGTTGAGCGCGGGGAGGTCCATGAGTATTGGGCGGTCCGAGTCAAGGTCGAGAGCGCACTCGGCGGGGCCGTTGACGCCGGCGACCACGCAGCAGACTACGCAGCAGGGGGCTTTTCAGCAGGGTACGGAGGAGCAGAAGAATGCTGATGGGCCGTCGGCTGTGTGAAGGCGGGCGTGAGAGTTGGTGGGTGAGGGTGAGCTATGGCGAGTGGGGTTCACATGATAGAAGTTCCGAATATGTTTTCTTCTTGATTTACTTTTCATTTTTTTTTGAATATTTCTCATGTAGTGGGACGGTGGCTATGAAGTGGTCGGTTTGGATACCCATTGTGTTGCAAAGAGGCGGTGGGTTGATTTTGAGTGAACTGAATTTAGAGAATAAGAAAAATATGTGATTATACAGAAATACCAAATGGGAGACTGGTGTACCGTAGTAATATCAATTCGACGAAAGTTGCTTCCGTTTGAAATCGTTTGAAAGTAAAAACAGACGTGAAGCCGGGCGAGTCTTGGCAGATGTCCTGCAGCAGAGACCCCTAACCCCTGCCAAGACCGCACCCCAGGCCCAGATGCGCTCATCAGGGGACCCATGCAGCGCGCTGCGCAACGTCGAGCCGCGTCGGGGCCAGATTGACATCTCCAAATGCACTCGCAACTTCGACGCTTTCATGTTACTCGACCTTGCCATCGCCAATTGACCGACCATCCCCCGAAATATTCAGATTCGCCGATTGAGTACTAGAGATTACCCATAATGGCGCCCGCAAAGCCATCGTCCGGAAAGGACAGCTACTCGGTGATCCTGCCGACCTTCAACGAGCGCCAGAACCTGCCCATCATCACTTGGCTGCTGAACCGCACTTTTACCGAGAAGTACGTTCCCCATTGCGTTCGATTGTCTCGTTTCCCGGATTACCGGCAAATTCACCACTTGGGAACCCGGGAGAAACATCAAGTGCTAACATGGAATTCTTTTACCCCCAAAATAGCAACCTCGACTGGGAACTCGTCATCGTCGACGACGGCTCCCCCGACGGCACACAAGACGTAGCGCGCCAACTCGAAAAAGCCTACGCCCCGCACGTGCAACTCCAATCGCGCTCCGGCAAGCTCGGTCTAGGCACCGCCTACGTGCACGGCCTCAAGTTCGCGCGCGGCAACCACATCATCATCATGGACGCCGACTTCAGCCACCACCCGAAATTCATCCCGCGCATGATCGCCCTGCAGAAGCAGCACGACTACGACATCGTCACGGGCACACGGTACGCCGGCGACGGCGGCGTGTACGGGTGGGACCTGAAGCGGAAGTTGACGAGTAAAGGGGCGAATATCTTTGCGGATACGGTGCTGCGCCCTGGGGTGAGTGATTTGACGGGGAGTTTTAGGCTGTATAAGCGGAGTGTGCTGGAGAAGTTGTTTGAGAGCACAGATGCGCGCGGGTTTACGATGCAGATGGCTCTGGCGGTTACCGCGAAGGCGAAGGGGTACAGTATTGGGGAGGTGCCGATTTCGTTTGTGGATCGGGTCTATGGGGATAGTAAGCTGGGTGGGGAGGAGATCGTGGAGTATGCGAAGGGGGTGTTGCAGCTTTGGTGGACGATTTAGAGACAGGGGGATAAATTATATGTAATGATTGAGGATGGGACGGGATACCAGTGATCAAGGGGATATGGACGATCTGTTGTAGGAGTAATGCTTGACGGCTGGAGAAAGGAGGACAAGGATATGGCGTTGTGTGGGCTAATCGAAAAAATATACAAAATTTATCACACCTCTCTGCCCCGCTGCGTCGGCTCGCTCAGATATTCCGCCCGCCCGTCACACTGATCGTCTGCCCAGTAATATACGAACTCAACGGCGACGCCACAGCCAACACCGCACTCGCGGCCTCCGTCGCACTCCCCGGCCTCCTCAACGGAATATCCGCATGCGGGCCCGGCCCGCCCACCGCCGCCCTAGCCGTCTTCTGCTTCCCCGGAATCCCCAACGCCACCTTCTGCCCGTCCACCACCACAAACGCTCCAGCCTCCTTCTCCGCCGTCAATCGCGTCTCGATGTACCCAAAGGCCACTGTGTTCGCACGCACGCCAAAGGCCGGGCCCCATTCCTTGGCGATGGTCTTGGTTAGCCCGACGACGCCGGCTTTGGCCATGGCGTAGTTGAGCTGGCCTGCATTGCCGTGCAGGCCGGAGGTGGACGAGATGTTGATGATGTTGCGGGGTTCGTTGTCTTTGACGCGGAAGTAGGGGGCGGCTTCGCGGATGAGTTTGAACGGGACTGTGCCGTGCATGGCGAGCATTGTGTCCCATTGTTTGTCGGTCATCTAGAGAGAGTGGATGTATGTGTAAGCGTTGCGGAAGGAAAATGTGATTGATTACACCACTCGGAAACTGTGGAGTCGCCCGCTCATAGCCTCATACCTTGTGGATGACAGCGTCCCAAGTAAATCCGGCGTTGTTGACGAGGATATGGATCTTGCCACCGCCAAACTCGGCCGCTTTCTTGACGAGTTCCTTGATGGACTCGTCCTTGAGCAAGTCGCCGGGCACAGCGAGGGCTTCACCGCCGTTGGCTCTGATCTTGGAGGCTACATCCTCTGCTTTGGCGGCGTCAATGTCGGATACCACCACTTTTGCGCCCTCGTTGGCGAACAGTCTCGCGCACTCGGCCCCGATGCCTTGGCCCGAGCCGGTGATGACGGCGACTTGGCCGGCGAGCAGGCCCTTGGGGTAGTTGAGTTGGCGGGCGATCTGGTTGAGACGTTCCGCCATGATGGGTGGTGGTGTTTAAAGTGGTACTTGTTGGTTTTATGGTTACTTTTCTCTGTACTTTCTGGCCGGTAAACCGTAATTATCGTGAGCGTCGTGGGAGGAGCCGGGTAAACGACGTTTGACGCGGCCGTCAAGCTGGTTGGTGGTTCGGAGCAGGGTGCCGAGGCCCTTGCCGATCGGGAATTGGAGGCCGGTCATAGCCGCGGCGGCCCCGCCCGGCGTTCAAGCAGTCCTTTACTGTGTAGACTTTAGTGAACTCTATACCTAGGTAATGTATTACCATCTCTCTATATATTATAGCTCGGTCCCCACTTTGTCCGTGATTAACAGCTTCCTGATTAGCCAGGACCTTGGTTGCCTTACACCTGGAATTCCACGACGGGGTAGTGTTCCTATAACCCTAACCCCCTATTATACTTATAATGTAAAATACCTACCTACCAGAGGCATTGAATACTTTGTTTAGTTCCAAGATACATTTCATATCCACCTCTAAGTTCCAGGCTGTGTCTTATTCCATGCCTCGAAAAACTGCTTACTATATACTCCCATGCACTTGACTTTCTCTGGCGGCTCTTTTTGCCACTCAACCCCATCGTCTTGCCAGCCTGCTGTCTCTACCCACTGTGATGTATACCCCTTGGCCTCCTTGATCTTTACCCCAGCTTCATTTGAGTACTCCAAGTTCACCACTGGCACCACTGCGATCTTGCCATACCCATGCCACCACAAATCCTTGCAAAACAACTGCGGCTCCCCTTGATGACACTCCCCCTCCCTCGGTCTTCGGAACCTTACTCCCTTTTCCAACAGCGGTGCAGCTGTAAACACTGCCGCACCATTCCAGCACGAGAACACCTGAAACGGCTTGTGGGCTCGGAAACGATCCTCGGCCACATCGTCGTTCCAGAACAGGTTCCATGCCGAGTTCCAGTTGCCGTCGGGCGGGATCTCAAAGAATGAGTCGCCTGCGAGGCCCCGTGCAATCCAGACGTCGTAGAAGGTCGGGTCACGGCCAACATAGGTCCAGTCCATGCCACAAACAAGGTCGGCGCCGAGGTGAGCATGTTGATAGGTGAGTTCGAGGATGTCCTCGGGGCAAGCAGCGACATCGTTGAGGAAGATAATTATGGTGGAGACGGAGAAGAGATTGCGTTTCCTGTTGGAGGAAGAGGAGAAGGTGTCAACGGCGTCGTCAAAGATCGGTTGCAGGGCGAGGTTACGCAGTCGGGCGAGAGCTTCGATGCGGTCGCCTTTCTTGGGATTGATGTCGCTGCTGCTGAAATAGTAGTTCGTGCCGAGGGCTTCAAGTTCGGGGCGAAGTGCAGCCAGTACTTCGGTAGTACCGTCGTCTGAGTTGCCTTCGATGATGGACAGCGCGCAGTTTTGCGGGCCCAGGAAGCGAATGGCTTCGACGACGCTGCCCAGGAGGCGAGGCAGTAGCGTGAGGCATTGGCGTAGGTCGATGGCGAAGAAATAGCGAATCTCGGGGGACATAGTGTCGCTGCTCAACTGCAGGTCCTGATACCTTGCCGTCTCCAGCTTCGGACATTGAAGCCGAGGCAGATCTGTTGCCTCAGGACTCATAATCGCATAGATGTATGCCGCTCTGGTCTCCTGCGATAACACTCCTGAGTAGCAATGTCAGACACTCTCCTACGGCAGATAGTGTAGAAAGCGACACACTCACCGTCACTCGTCGCTGGGATTGCGGCCGAGGGCACAGCGGCTGCTGGTGCCGATGGCGCGGCTTTTGGTTTCGCATTGGGCCTAAGCAGACTTGGTGCGAGTTGTTCTCGGCGGACATAGAGAGTGAATACAACGAACACGAGGCCCGCTGCCGGCCATAACATGAACCATCGCCGCATACTACAAGATGCCCGACGGGGTAGTTGCTCGTATAACAAACGGATTTTAGATTGAAGGCGCTTGATGGGGCAGATTCTTGAATCCTCCACAGGGTCGCGCTTCAGTCTAACTGCCCACAACAGACAAGATTGAGGGAATGCAGCCAGCCTGGCGACTGTGATCTTATTGAGGAGACCAGACGCTGAGGAGAATTGAAGTCGCGAAACGTCAAACCTAGTGGCGTCACATTTTCTGTTGGTCGTGTTGGGGCCAGGATCTGATCAGCCGGCTAAGCGCCCACTGATGTATACCCCTGGGTTGTCATAATCATATCTTGGACATTGCTGCAGATAATATCACCGCATGAGATTTGCATCGCGCGCCTTCGTGGAATGAAGTTGGTCCTCGGTGTGCGTCCGTTCACAACACAAAGCCTGTAAACACCGGGTCGGGAGGGATCGTCGATGTAGGAGAATCTTTTCTTGTTAAGCACTATTATATATGATGTTTCGAGGTGGCAGGACCAGGTTTCTTCCCGCAATGAACTGTGATAATACTACCCGTTTCTCGGCACTCGTCTTCCTACAGCATCTCTGGTCTGGACAGAGAGAGCTACTAGGATTTTAAAATACTTGATCCGGGCTTTTGTTAACCCAATAGCTGTGAGAGAGAGCACCTCAACCTCCAACTCAGTACACGAGCTTGCCGCTGCGGAGTGCGGAGAACTGGACGGCTTTGTGAAATGCGGAGCACATTGACGCCGCAGCGGATCTGGGGAGTCTGGGGTGCTATCCCAATATGGTTAGTGGGTGCTCCCCATTTTGGAGGCCCAAGCTCCCTTCGTTCAGCCCATTTCCTCCACTGTGCGACACAAATACCCCTCCACACCACCTTCAACACACAGTACGACAGTATTGCAGCCAACATCCACCACACCGGGCTTCATGCACGATCCCTCCGTGCTCTCCTCGCCAATACCAACCGGGCGCCAGATGTCCGTTCGCATCCAACAGGAATGTGATAGCGAACTCGGCTTATCTTGCCAGCCGCCATGGGAAAATTCTGGGAAACCGCTGTTCACGTAACCCGTTTTAAGGCGACAGGAGAGAAGCGATGAAGGGGATTGGCGCAACCGAGAGGGGGCCGCTCCAGAGGGAAGCCGAAAAATGGCACATGCAAAGTGCCAACCTTTGGACTCTCGAGAAACGGCACGCCAATCAATCAACCAACCCTCCATAACCAGCGGGACCAACAACTTCTCTCCTCATGGTCAAGCGACCCAGTCCATTTTGCCGGCGTTGGGGGCGGGTCGTAATAGTTGGTGAAGGTGGGCGAGTGAGGCACGCAGCAACAGAAAATGCGCACGGGAGAGGCACCAACGCGGACGTCAACAGACCGCAATGCTACATACATACCACCACCAAGAAAACGCCAACATATGGCGAAGCACACAAAACTGCCAAGGCACACGCACTCAAGCTGCAGCGAGCTGACAGCTGAAAACGTGTTGGTTTGAGGTGATCGAGTCAGGACCTGACGTGAACCTCTGTGTCTAGTCGAGAGAGGGGCAGGCCTGATGCCGGCATCGTACACAGGGGCCCGTGCCGACCACTTATTCCATAGATAAGCTGCGACGTCCGGTCCCGAGACGCTCCCACACCGTTTGAACCTCGTCAGAAGTGTGGCTCTTTACGAATAACATTCCCGAAACTCGTCGGGCTCGAATGCATCGTCACTCTTGTTACCGCAGAGCAGATTCTGGTGCCCAATATAGGTTTGCCAACTCCTGATCGACACATCCCTCTGCCTAAACCTCAACTCTTCTTTCTCTTGCGTCTCGACATCCCCCGTTCACCTGGAAACGCCTCCCGACTACCATCACTCCCTTGACTCTACCATAACCCGGAAATGGTTAGTCAACGCATCATGAAGAACAGCTTCCAAATCGATGGCGGCGCGCCGCCACCGTACTCCGAAGCTGTCGGCCCTGTACCCAACTTTAGGCACGAGAAGGCGTCTGCGACGGTGTACGAGGCGCCAGTGGTGGCTACACCAGCGCGATCATGTTTTCTACGAAGGATCTGGAGGCTCTTGACAACCTCGCGGGTTCAAAGGCGCCAACAACGCAAGTCACGTCTCGCCGAGCAGCAGCAACAAGCCCCAAGGACGATCCCGTCGCCCACACCACAGCAGCAGCAACAACCGGACATCGCACCAGATAGTTCATCACGACCAGAGACCGGGAGATGGGAAGCGCCAGAGAGCTTGAGCACCGTTCAGCGAACAGTCCCCATGGTGAATTGTTTCCAGTACACCATCTCTAGCCAGCACTGCCCCATCGACTTTGTCACACCGGATGATGTGGAAGCTGCGCCATGGATTGCGGAGGTCCATTTCGGCGTCGACGACCTAAACACACAACTACCCCTCAACCCACCATGGGCCGAGAACATCCACCGATGCTGGCAAGACAAGATCAGTGCCGAGGAGCACCCGCTGCTCTCCGACGAGCGGCTGTTTGTTCGGAGGATCGAGATGGGCTACTCGCGAGTTGGGGAGGCCGGTCGGTTGGAGTGGGCGGTGGCTATTGATATCTGGCACCAAGATGCGCAGTGGCTGGCCGATCTGCCGTACGAGGCGATGGCGGCTATGACGGGGCATGATTCCATGATCCGGTAAGATTCGCCTAGGAGGGCATGTTTCCTTTATGGCATACCGATTCTGACCTTCTGCTCACAGCGCCTCTGGCACAATATTTCCCGTGGACAAACCCCTGGAGTCGGGTAAGGTATTTTACTTGCAGTTCCCGAAACCAGTTGAAGATTTCTACTGCGAGGACTGGCCCGACCTTGAGGGTGAGAAGTTCGCATCGGAGAGCGCGCTTCTCAAAGTCTTGGGCGTAGACAGGCCGGAGCTCCGCGAGCAGCTTGGGCGGTTTTTCAATCCGCCGGCTCGCGAATGAGCTCCCATGCGATTGCTGGATTTCTCAAGGACTCTTACGGCCAAGAAGGCGGTCAAAACTGACGGCCGCTTCACGACATACCACATATAACCCTTTTCTTTTGGTTAGAGATGTCATGACGATCATGTCAGTCTACTTTTACTAGCATTATCTGGTGTTGGAACCGGAATTGGCGTAGGACGGACGGATGGGATGGGATCATCTGCTTTCAAACCCAAACAACGCGCTTCGACGTGGTTCGGCATCTGCCACTTTTCCTCCCTTAAAAGCGGTGTCCCAAATTCACTCACTCTGCGACACATATCAACCAAGCAGTTCTCGGAGGAAAACCCCCTCCCATCAGACAGCTGGGCGGTTAAGTCGTCTCGCTTCACAAACGCAGCCACACAGCACAACACACACAGCAACTCCAACAATACGACACACAACGTCCAGTCAAATCACGCCCTGCGAGCATCCTTCCGACCACGGATCAAAGAGAATAAGATCTCTGCAGCCCTGCCTGGCAAGCCTGCCTGCCGCATACCACCACATGCCACATGCCTACCTGCAGTCAACCTGCATGCATGACAGTATGTCTGTATGTCCATACGTGGGCCAGGAAGGCCCAGCCGCCAGCCCAGCCCAGCCCAGCCCAACAACCGGTACTATGTAGTGTAGTGTAGGTGTCTTGTTGGTTGGTCCCTCTCGCCAGGCCGGTTGACCACATGACGGCTGCGAAGGCCGTACCCGCACTGTATCGGATGTTTCCTTCCTGG